CCAGGCTCAGCAGCTCCTAACGTAGCACCCCCAGGCTCAGCACCCCCAGGCAAAGGACCCCCAGGCTCAGCACCCCCAGTCTCAGCACCCCCAGGCTCAGCACCCACAGCCGCAGCACCCCCAGGCTCAGTACCCCCAGGCTCAGCACCCACTCGCGCAGCACCCCAAGAGTCAGCACCCCCAGGCTCAGCACCCGCAGCAGTACCAGAGTCACCAGTAACCTCGACCGGCTCAACTGCGTCTTCCTGGGACACACCTGAAGGGGCAGGACCCTCAGGGGGGAGGGGGTCTACCGGGGGGGGACCTGGCACAAGGAAGAGCGGAGGCGGGGGGAGGGAAGGAGTGCGGTAGGGGAAGAGACGGTAGTAGGGGACCGACTCGTCAAACGTGACGTCCTGGGAGGACAGAACACGACGAGAGGAGGGGTGGTAGAACTGCCACCCTGGCACGTTAGGGGGGAAGCCGAGGAAGACACAAGGAGCAGCACGAGGGGACAGCTTGTCCGCAGACAAGTCGCGGACAAACGCCCGTGATCCCTTGACACGGAACGCAGACGCATCGCCTACCTTCCCCGTCCACAGCAAAGCTGGGGAGGTCTCCGGCATGGAGACCCTGGGGTGAAGGTTGAGCTGATGCGCCGCGTACCGAACCGCAAACGGCCACAGAAAATGGGGGGCAGCCGCATGCATCATGGACGTACGAGCGACGTCCATGACCATGCCAATGCGGCGCTCAGCAATCCCATTTTGCTGCGGAGAGTCCGAAAGCGTAAAGGTCTAGCGGATGCCTCGCGCACGGCAGTAGGCTCGCAGAAGGCCAGAGGAGAACTCTCCGCCTCGGTCAGAGTGCAGACGCAGAACAGGAAAGTCCGAGCCGAAGCTCCTCCTCAGCTGGAGACGAGCTGCGCGGATCCAGTCGATCAACACCTCAGTGACATCGCCCTTGCTGCGCAAGGGGAAGACTGTGGTGTAACGCGAGTAGTCGTCAACCACCAGCAGGAAGTAGCGCTCGTGACCCTGTCCACGGACGCGGGCCGGGCCCCACACGTCCATGTGAAGCGTCTGCAGCGGGGCCTCTGTCGGGGGAAACTGAGAGGAGTGAGGGGCAGCCCGGAGCCGCCCCTCGACACAGGGGACGCAGGAAGGACCAGGCCCCGGAGGAAGGGGAGGGAGGGACCGGGGAAGACCAGAGACAAGGACACGGGAAGCCATGCCTCGGAGACGAGGCAGGGAGGGGTGGCCAAGACGGTGGTGCCACAGGAGAGTCTCGTGAGACAGGAGGCGACACGAGCAGGGGGCAGACTCAGGACCAGACCTGGACGCTGCAGCAAACACGTGACCCGACGCAGCTACCTGGCCAGACGCAGGGACAGGAGGAGACTCAGTGGTCAGGGTGTAGAGGCTCGACCCCGGCCGACGCGTAAACGTGGCCAGGTGCCTGCTTGTGCGAGCGTCCGAGCAGTGGGTCACCTGCGGACTCGCAGGAGCAAACTGGCGAACCCCCGCATCCTGTAGGTCAGCACCACTCACCAAGCTCGTAGAGAACGAGGGGAGGTAAAGACCAGACAAGGTGCCAGAGGGGGCAGCCGGACACGGGAGGACAGTAGAGAAGTGAGAGAGGACAGGGCCCCCAGAGGGGTCTGCCAGGGAGACTGCAACCGGCCGACCAAGCGGCGTGAGTGTGGTGCGGTCTCGAAAGAAGGAGCGAGAAGCCCCTGAGTCAAGTGTGAAGGTGAGGGAGGCCGAAGCCGACGCGGTACCTGAGAGCGCAGACTCACCAGCACCTGAGGACGCAGACGCACTGGCACCTAGAGCAGCAGCCTCACCAGCACCTAGAGCAGCAGTCGCAATGCCCGGGTCGGGCGGGAAACACCGGTAACAGTCACCCTCATCACTAATAGTCACAGCATACATGGCAGCAAGGATAGCATCAAAGTCAAGATCATAGATAGCTACACCTGCCCTAGACAGCTCTCCCCAGCGGGGGATCTCAGTAGCCTCCGGGAACTGCTGACGCCAAGCGTCCGTCAGGCGGCCAAAGCAGCGCTGGGCGGGGTGGGCACCCCCACACTGCTCACCCGCGCGGTCGCCGGTGCGAAGGACATAGGTGCACGGACCAAAACCCCCACCACGCTAACGCTGCGCGTACCACTCACGGAGCTGCTGAGGGGGGGGGGGGATGTCCCGAGAACGCTGCTGCTGCTGCTGCTGCTGCTGCTGGCGTTGACCACCACCGGAGCCGCTCCGCTTCGAAGCGCCACCCTGACCAGCTCCACCTCCTCCACCGCCGCCTCCTCCACCTCCGCCACCACCGCCGCCTCCGCTCCCACCGCTACCGCCTCCGCCGCCTCCGCCTCCACTGCTGCCACCGACATCTCCACCCCCGCCACCACCCCCACCGCCACCCTCACTCCCTCCGCCGCCTCCACCGCCACCTCCACCACCCCCGCTAGCTCCACCCGCGCCCTTGCCCCCCTTGCCCTTGCCAGAGCGGCGTCTCCCGCTAGGGGCAGACGCCGCACCGACCGACTCAAGACCAACGAGGTCGGCCGCAGCAGCAAAGGCGACAGAGGGCAAAAGGGGGGAAGGGGAACACCCCTCAAAGATGGGGGTGCGAGGGTCACCACGAGAGGCTCCTACAGCGACTATGCTCTTCTCCGCTGCTAGGAGGGCCTTCTCTAGGAGGTCAACAATGAGAGTGGTGGGACAGACTGAGAGGAAGTGGTCCCTGACTACACGAAGGGAGTCAGGGAGGCGGGTGACTATATAATAGAGAGTGATGTACATGGGGGGGGGGGTTCTTGGCGCAGAACTCAGCAGGAAGCGCGGCGCGGTAGCGAGTGTCACTAGTGCGGAGGTGCGTAATGAGGTCAGCGACTGTGGGAAAGGCAGCAAGGTCAGGGAAGAGGTACGGTAGCATGAGGCGGCTCAGTGCAGCAGCGGCAGGGGAAGAGTAGCGCGCAACTACAGCGTCGTACAAGGTCTGAGCACTCTTGTACTGACTAAAGTGCGCGCGCTCAGTGGTAGGCAGGTGGCGACGCACAGCAAGACGTGCAGCAGCGTCGCGCGTGGCCCACTAAGAGCGAACAGTGGCGTTAGCATCAGCAGCAGGGGCAGGAGAGGCGCCAGAGGTGAGGTCAAAGAGAGAGAGACCGTCTGCCCCATCGCACTGTAAGAACTGCTGCAGGTCGTCGACCCAGACGTCAAAGTCAATGGCTCGACCCTCAGCGTCAAAAGCGAGGACACTAGGGGTAGCCATGACAACAGTAGACCAGCAGTGCAAGCAGTAGGGAAAGGGCAGTGCAGCGACAAAGGTGCTGTGCTCACCGGAGAGGGCTGCTCGGGCGGCTTGGCGGAAGGGCGGCTCGGCGGCTCGGCTCCTGGGCGGCTCGGCGGCTCGACTGCTGGGCGGCTCGGCTGCACGGCGACCCGGCGGCTCGGCGGCTCAGCTGCTCTGCTGCTGGGTGGCCCGGTTGGGCTGCTGCAGGGCGGCGCGGCGGTCGGCGGCTCGGCTGGGTGAGGCGGCTCGGGCGGCTCGGGCGGCGGGCGGCGCTGCAGTAGTTGAGGGCGGCGGGGCCGCAACTGAGGGCGGCAGGGCCGCAAGTGAGGGCGGCGGGGCCGCAGGTGAGGGCGGCGACGGGCCGCAGCTGAAGGCGGCAATGGGGCCGCAGGTGAGGGCGACAACGGGGCCGCAACTGAGGGCGACGATGGGGCCGCAGGTGAGGGCGACGGGGCCGCAACTGAGGGCGGCGGGGCCGCAGGTGAGGGCAGCGACGGGCCGCAGGTGAGGGCAGCGACGGGGCCGCAGCTGAGGGCGGCAACGGGGCTGCAAGTGAGGGCGGCGGGGCCGCAGGTGAGGGCGACGGGGCCGCAACTGAGGGCGGCGGGGCCGCAGATGAGGGCGGCGATGGGCCGCAGGTGAGGGCAGCGACGGGCCGCAGGTGAGGGCGGTGACGGGGCCGCAAGTGAGGGCGGCGGGGCCGCAAGTGAGGGCGGCGGGGCCACAAGGGAGGGCGGGGACGGGCCGCAGGTGAGGGCGGCGACGGGGCCGCAACTGAGGGCGGCGACGGGCCGCAAGTGAGGGCGGCGGGGCCGCAACAGAGGGCGGCGGGGCCGCAAGTGAGGGCGGCGGGGCCGCAAGGGAGGACGGCGACGGGCCGCTTAGGGTGGCGACGAGCCGAGTGAGGGCCGCGACGGGCCGTAAGGGCGGCGCAAGGGAGGCCGCTAGGGGCGACGCGACGTGGCCGCTAGGGCGGCTCGACGAAGGCAGAGAGGGGAGCGCGACTCGAGGAGCGCGCTCCGGGCAGGAAAAAAAAAATTGATGTGGTGGGCCCTAGGCACAGTTCCCACGAGGGAACCTGCTCGATACCATGAGAAAGTTAGAACGAGAATGAAATGACTAAGTGAAAGCTGGGTACAAATACAACCCTAGAAAGCTGTACCCCATATGTGCTACCCCACTATAGCCTACAACAGCTATGTCATACAAATCTGACATTGAATCACCTACCCAATGGCTACCGGAGGAGCTGCTTTCTCAGATCCTGCGTTTTCTGGTTCGACGTGATGGTGAGCTGGAGCATGCAGGTGTTAGCAAGCAATGACGTCGCCTCGCGTACCACTTGCAACATGAGATCCGTTTGCCCTCCAACCTCTTTATGGATCCGCGTCGGTTCGTCCAACCTCTGGCGTCGTTCCCCAACCTTAGAAAGCTCGTTCTTCCAAGCAACACCCTCACCGCAGTCGCAGATTTTTTACTCTCTCGCCTCGCAGACTTGTGTCCTCATCTGACCGAGCTTCGTGTTGAGTCGATGGAACGTAGTATATACAGTCGCACAGGCGTAAGCGAGCAGAGCCTGGAGTTCCTATTCGACAAGTGTACTCAACTAGAAGATCTCAATCTGGAGTGTTCGATGAACGCTGGCGAATTTCCTCTCCCGTCACCCGTCAATCGGCCGACTCACCTTGCTCAGGAACCTGCATCTCGAGGCAAGCGCCGTCATGCGGCTTCCTAACACATTGACCTTGTTGCACTCCCTCAGAAGCCTCAAGCTGCACGCTCACAGACTCGAGGCTCTGCCTCAGGATCTCGGCAATCTGCTTCTCTTAACGTCGCTCAAGCTGGACGGTTGCCGCTCCTTGGCGTCGCTTCCAGAATCTTTCGAGAAACTTACCAGTCTGAACCTTCTATCCATGAACCACTGCCCGATGCTGCAGCTGCCTGCTTCCCTCACCAAGCTGCCTTCTCTCACCGTCCTGGAGATTAGGGTCTGCGACTTTCCTCTCCCGTCACCCGTCGATTTTCCTCGGCTGTGGAGGCTCGAATCCGTCTGTCTGGAAGGAGTGACCGGACTGCGCGGGCTAATCGAGGCGCTAGAGCATCTGTGGCAGCTCAAGATTCTAGTGATCAAATGCTGCAGCGATATCACGTCTCTGCCCGAGTCGCTTTTCCGCCTACCTTCACTTACCAGTCTCACCCTTGAAATGCCACAACTCTCAGTTCTACCTGACCATGTTGGGCTGCTGTCAATGCTGCGGACACTCACGCTGGATATGAAGCAGCTCACAAGTCTTCCTTATTCCATCGCTCTGGTTACTATGCTCCAAGAAGTTTCCTTAACTGATTTCTGGACCTTGCCTTCTCTGCCCGAGGAGTTCGGGCAGCTGAGAGGTCTGGAAACGCTGACCCTGAAACACCTTCACCAACTCACATGCCTGCCTGAATCCCTCGGACAGCTGACAGCCCTCCGGGAGCTGAAAATAGAGGAGTGTAGGCAGCTGCAGCAACTTCCGGACTCCCTATCCCAGCTATCTTCTCTCGAGCGCCTGGAGATTGAGAAGTGCACGGGCCTCACCGCGCTGTCAGATAACATGGGGAACGGTCTGCACCGATTGTGCTATATGTGTCTGAACCGCTGCTCGTCTCTCACCCACCTCCCTCCATCCTTTTCTGGCCTGACGTCCCTCCAAACTCTCAAGATTATAAAAGCCAAAGGCTTTAGAGGCAGCCTACTGCTAGACGGCTTCGGCTGCTTGAAAAGCCTCAAGGAGTTGGTGCTTCAAAGCATGCCTCGCCTATCTTCCCTACCTGCCTCCTTCTCAGGCATTTCGTCACTCACCGGCCTCGATATTTTAAGTTGCCCTAAAGTAACGGTCCTGCCAGAGGGAATCGAACGGCTGGAGGCGCTCGAGGTGGTCAAGATCGCACGGATGGACGGCTTGAGGGATCTCCCTGGGTCGTTGGTTAGGCTGCCCCGCCTGCGCGTGCTGGAGGTGCGGGCATACTGTGGGGTTGGCGCGCTGCTAGGGGATGAGGTGGTGGCCGATCGCACCCCCAGTCACCCTTTGGTACACTTCAACAGCACCCGCACCAGCAGCACCGGCATGAGCAGCAGCAGCACCAGCAGCAACAGCAACAGCATGGCACTGCTTCCATCCCTCACGAGTCTCAAGATGAAGTCGTTCTGTTGCCACGCCCTTGGCCCGTCCCTTGGCCAGCTCTCCTCTCTAACGAAGCTCAAGCTCCTCCAGCTGCACTCCCTTGTGTCACTCCCCGAGTCAATGTCTCAACTCTCGCACCTGAGAAGACTCCGAATCAATTCGGCCATCTAGTTAGAGTCTCTGCCTGACTCCTTCGGCAAGCTGTCAGGTCTGCGGGTATTGAAGCTGGTTTACCTCATTGCGTTACGGCAGCTGCCTGAGTCTTTCAGGCAGATGAAAATGCTTGAGACGCTGGAGATCGTTTACTGCTACAAGCTGATGAAGCTTCCAAGTTCTTTCTCGAATCTGTCCAAGTTACAGTTCTGTATCCTCACCAAGCTTCGGATCTCAAAGTTTCCAGCTCACTTCTGGAAGCTGTCGTCCCTCCAAAAGCTGGTGCTCCTGGGGCTGAAGCACGTGCGCAGCTTGCCAGAGTCGATCTCTAGGCTACCCAAGCTGCAGGTGCTGCGGGTGATTGCGTGCCACAAGCTGGCTCAGCTGCCGTCCTGTCTCGAGAGAATGGCAACGTTGCGTGAGTATGATGTCAGGGAGTGCCCTTTGCTCCCTTGTCGAGACGACAGGAGGGCCCCTACAAGGGTACAAGAGGGGGATGGGGAGGAGGGAAGAGGGAGTGGCGGTTGGTGAAGGAGAGGAGGATGGAGGAGAGGAGGGAGAGGGTGAGGAGGGTGGAGATACGGTAGGGGAAGGGGGAGAGGAGGAAGGAGGGGAGGAGGTAGAGAGTGAGGAGGGAGGAGATGTAGCAGTGGAAGGGGATGAGGCCGACAGCAAGGCAGAGGAGTATGCAGAGAGTGATTTTGAGGAGTTGCATATCATACATGATCATGGCAGGGACAGTGAGGATGACAGGTACATAGACGAGGAGGGCTGGGGGTCGAGTGATGAGGACAAGGAAGAGGAGGAATAGCTTGGTGGAAGTGGTGAGGTGAAGGGGGGAGGAGAATGTCATTGACCGGAAGAACCAAGGGAAGCAGGTTGTAATCGTCAGATGGAGCCAAGGGGAATGAGATTGGGAAGTACGGTACCGTAGTGACAGTAGGTTTTTTGTTTGCCTTAGTGTGGGTGCAATTTATGTAACTCGTGTTAATTTTATCTTGCTTGTAGCCGTCCCCCATGGGGGTAAGGGACTGAGGGATCTGTTTTGGGCCAAAGGGCAGTTTTCCAATAAAAAAAAGGGGATAGGATCTCAGAAAGTGGCTACAGCAGAATGAGTTGCATTGATTGTGTTGGGGTACAAGTACCTAACCCTAACTGTTTGTACCCCATATAGCATGACCCACTAAAGGCTATAATATTTGACACACCCCCATAGCCTAAGTGGGGAATGCCAAACAACAAGAACACAACCTAAGGTCACAAGACCAGTCGCAAGCAAGAGAGGAAACAATACTCAGGGTGGATCACAACGTCACCACACAGTCTGAGCACAAACAAGGGGCCACAAGGCCAGTTCAAGTGTGAGGATCTAGGGTCGAGCTCAGAAAAGAGAATATGAATTGAATTGAATGATCACCTGGGTACAACACGAGGCTATATATAGGCTCGACACAAGGCCTCGTAACCAGGTGTTACGCGAAGGTTCCGCGGGCCGCGAAGCGTCCCGAACAGATCCTTACCGACTTCGGTAGAAGGCAATTCGGTGGCAACCGAAAAGCCAGAATTCGGTGCACGCAACCTAGCTCGGTGCTATAACTATAACAAAATATAGGAAAGCACCTAGCCTAGGAAATCAAGTAATTCATGCATGCATATAATGATCCCATGCTATAAATAGCATGATAAAATAAAGGCAAGCAAGCATAGCTGGCATAAGCCGTCGTACTCTCACACGTCCCCCCCTCAAAGCTGGGTGGCGTGAGATACACCCTGCTTGACAAGATAGTCCTTGAGAGCACGGCGTGCGTTGCCCATATCAGCTTCTGCAACCCAACTGTCCTCAGTGGGGTCGTATCCCTTCCAGCGTATCGGGAACTCGAGGGTCTTGCCGCCGCGGCGCCGATGAGAGAGAACGCGCTCGATCTCGTACTCGGGTTCATCCTGCACAAGAACAGGTGGAGGTGGCGGTAGCTGCCGTCCCTGGAACTGTTGGTTGGGGTCCTTGTAGGGTTTCATTAGCTGCACATGGAAAGCATTGTGAAGCTTCCAAGTAGTAGGTAAGCGCAAGCGGAATGCAACTGGTGTCACCTGTGCCTCAACGAGGAAAAGGACCACAGAAGCGAGGCCGGAGTTTTGATGGGAGGTGAGACAGGTTCAAGTTGCGCATGTCAAGAAGCACCTGATCTCCGACTGCTACTGAGTGATCACGTCGCTGACGATCGGCATATTGCTTCAGGGAGTTTTGCATCATTGTGAGACGTCGCTGAGTCTTCTCCCATAGCTGCTGCATGGTGGTGACGAAGTCATGTGCGGCTTGGACGTGTGCCGGTGTGGTTGGCTGCTGTGGTGTGAGTGGTTCCCGTCCGTAACACAGGATGAAAGGAGTTTTCCCTGTGGCCGCATGTGATGCGTTGTTGTAAGCGAATTCTAGGGCTGGTAATTGTGTGTCCCAGTGGCTGACGTCGTCTTTGCATGCTGTGCGCAGTAACTGTTCAACCACCTGATTGAGTCGCTCTGTCTGTCCATCAGTCTGGTGGTGGTATGCTGAAGACATCGCAAGTTTGGTCCCCAATAATCCCATGAGCTCCTTCCAGAACTTACTCGTGAATTTTGGGTCTCTGTCTGAGATGAGTGTAGCGGGGATGTCGTGGATGGTGATGATGCGGTCGAAGAAGAGGCGAGCACATGCTTCAGCTGTAGCTGTGGCGTTGGTCGGTATGAAGTGACCCATTTTGGAGAACTTATCGATGACTACGAGGATGGAATCATGTCCCCGTGAGGTCGAGGGAAGTCCTGTGATGAAGTCGAGGCTAACGACCTGCCATGGCTGCTCCGGTACGGGTAGAGGCTGAAGTAACCCTGCTTTTTTCTGCTTGCTACTCTTCATCCGCTGGCACGTGTCGCAAGAGGTGACGAACTGCTGCACGTCTGCTGCCATCCCGTGCCAGTAGTAATACTTCGCTATCCCTGTTAACGTCTTGTTGCTCCCGAAATGTCCCGCGTAAGGTACGTCGTGAAACTCCTCCAATAGGATCTGCCGTAGCGGGGCGTAATTCGGTACCCAAATCTTTCCTGAACCCTTCCTTACCGCTAGGTCTTTCTCCCACTGTAACAGCTTCTTCGTCTGTGCTGTAGCGATCTCTGCGTCCACGGAGTACCCATGTTGGAATAGACCCTTGAGTAGAGGGTTCATCCCGTTGAGCTGGATGCCTGCTACATGTCCGGGACGGCTCAATGCGTCTGCTTTGTTGTGTAGCCCGGGCTTGTAGACGATGTCGTAGTGGAAGTGAGTTTCCAGGAAGTCCACCCACCGCACCTATCGTCGTGAGAGCATCGGTTGCGACTTCAGGTATTTGAGACTGCAGTGGTCAGTATAGACTGTAGTCTTGGCTCCCTCTAGGTAACACCTCCACGCCTTGAAGGCTATGACTATCGCTAAGGCTTCCTTGTCGTGAATGGGGTAGTTTAGTTCTGCTCCGTGTAGTTTCTTACTGAGGTAGGCGATAGGCTGTAACCCGCGTCCGTGATCCTGCATCAGTACTGCTCCGACTGCCTGGTCACTCGCATCTGCTTCCACCACGTAGTCCTTTTATGGATCCGCTAAGATGAGTACTGGCGCTGTAGTTAGTGCTGTCTGTAGCTACTCCATGGCTTGCTGATGAGGGATATCCCATTTGTAGGGCATATCCTTTTTCAGTAGGTTGGTTAGTGTCGCTGCTATCTTAGCGTACTGCGTCACGAACCTGTTGTAGTAGTTGGCAAAGCCTAGGAACTGCTGCAACTCTTTCACGTTCTCCGGTACTTTCCACTTCTTGACGGCTTCGATTTTCCGCGGGTCCATGTGTACACCCTCGACACTCACCATATGCCCGAGAAACTGCACCTTCTTCGGGGCGAAGTCGTTCTTCGACAGCTTCACGTAGAACTTGTTTTTCCGCAGGATATCGAACACCTTCCGTAGATGCTCCACGTGCTCCTTCATGTTCTTGGAGTAGATGAGAATGTCGTACGGGTACACCACCACGCATTCGTCCAGTAGGGGTCGTAGGATGTGATTCATCTCTGCCTGAAACGTTGCTGGTGCGTTGTCACAAGACCAGTCAAGCAAACCAGACAAAGCTCAGGGTGGATCACAACGTCACCACACAGTCCGAGCACAAGGTCAAGGCCACAAGGCCAGTTCACATGCAGGAGTACACATATATATATATATATAAGGCTAAACAAGCAAGAGCAGGTATATATATATATGGAAGGGTACAAGCAAGGTCAAGTGGTGAGCAAGTGAGGCAAGACAGGCACAAGACCCAGCTGAGTCCAGAAGCGCTGATGATCACAAGGCGGAAGTGCCTTGGTGAAAACATCAGCAGTGTTGGCCTCAGAGGCCACGTACGCAAGTCGCAACTGACCACGCTGCTGCAACTCACGCGCAAGAAAGTAGCGGAGAGCAATGTGCTTCGTTCTGTGCTCCAGGTGCTGCTCCCGACACAAGGCCAGCATGGCCTTGTTGTCTACGTACAGCACTGGAGGGGAACGAGGCGGCTCTCCTAGGTCAGTCAGCAGGTAGGTGAGCCAGCGAAGCTCCTTTGCAGCCATGGCCCCGGCGTAGATCTCAGCCTCACAACTGGAGCCGAGAACAGAAGACAAGCGAGTAGCCCGCCACGAAACAGAGCCGGAACCAAGACTGAAGGTGTAACCCTGTGACGACCGCTGCTTAGCCTGGTCGTCAGCCCAAGAAGCGTCCGCGTGCCCAGTGAGGACCACAGGACTCCGCCCTCCAAGCACTAGCCCCATGCCTGACGTACTGCACAAGTAGCGCAACACCCTCTTCGCTGCAGCCATGTGCTCTGGTCGGTGTCTCCCAGGAGCAACATAGCGTGCAAGAATGCTAAGAGGGTATGCAAGGTCAGGTCGTGTGCAGGTCATCAGGTACATGAGGCAGCCAACAAGCTCTGGGTACGGGCCACTCGACTCTACGGACTCATCCGAAGGCAGAGCTGAGAGCGAGTGGCGAGTAGACAGAGGAGTGGCCTGAGGCGAGGAGTACGTGAAGCCGAAGCGCTGAAGGACCTGCTGCACCATGTGTGACTGAGTCAAGGTAATGGTGCGGCGTGCTCTGTCCCGGGTGATCTGCAAGCCAAGGTAGCTGCGCAGTTCACCCAGGTCTGTGCACGTGTGTCTCTTCTGCAGCTCGGACTTCACGTGGGCGAGTCCAGCAGTGTCAGCAGTGGCAAAGACCAAGTCGTCGACGTACACGAGGATGTAGAACGGCGGCAAAGAGGTGTCGGTGCGCAGAAACAACGACGGCTCAGCAGTAGAGGGAGCAAAATCCTTCACTTCACTCCCCCTTGCCCAGGGAGGGGCGCCATCCACAGCATGAGGTCGTCAATGCAGAGAAGCACCAGTCCTCCCACATCCTGCTCAGGCACCATGCTGACATGGGGCTGCATCCCCATCAGGGAAATGCACACACCATGCCGCTCAAAAGGAAGGGGTTTGGTGAGTATATCTGCTGCTTGACGGTTGGTGGGGCACCACCGGAGGATCACTTCGCCGCACGCCACCATCTCCCTGATGAAATGCCACCAAACCTGCATGTGCTTGGTGCGGCCATGCAAGCATGCATTCTGTGCAAGGGCAATGGCAGACTGGTTGTCCACAAACACAGGCACACCACCAGCAAACTCATGCTCCTGTGGTGGCTGCTGCGGCTTCTCTTGTTGCTGCTGCTGCCCCTGTGGCTGCTCCGGGTCATGGGCTGGTGCGTTAGGGTCAGGGGTAGAACCAGCAGTTGGTGACTCCTCATGGTGA